AAAAGTTTTCTTATTGCGGAATACACTGTTCAATTTATCCCTTGGCCTTGGACAAAGACAAAGTTTTCAAACTTGAGTGTCTCAGATGTGGCAAAAATTTATTAAATAGCAAATGCTTTCTTAATTAAGTCAATACTCAGGCCCCGTTTACACTATACCGGATTGCTATCGGAGTGGGTCAAATTTTGTAGGTATCGAAAGGCTGTGAAGATTTTTAATCTCAGAGACCCAAATAAACATGACAATTCTATCAAACTATTAAGCATTTGCTACTAACCATTGCTCCGTAACGGCAAAAGAAGATGTCGTGACCAGCGAATCCGGTATAGTGTAAACAGGGCCTCAATAGCCCTGTTTTAACTTTTAATATATGGGTGTGAGGTGCCTAGACATAAGGGAAAGGACAACTGGAATTTAATAGGAATCTAATAGATTTCCAAGTGACGGTTTATGTGGTGCAACAGAATATAAAGACCTGTCTTAATAACATTTGGCTTGGATTTGTTAATAACCAATGGGGGCATTACATTCCATTTTGCTTGCCAAGTTCACAGGCAAAATATTTGCATGGATAAAATCCATTTTGCAAGGCAAATTTCCCTGTAACAATCAGTCACTAAGGAAACGTCCCAGTGATAGCTAGTGTTTTGCCAGGGGCGGATCTAGGATTTTTCGCACGTTAGTCAAAATTTTATGACGTCATCGATGACGCAAAACGTGATGACGTCATTTGACATGATGTCATTTGATAACAGGATGATAGTCCAATTTTTGTGGAAGTATAGATATTTTGTTTTATTAAACTACAAATGCGTAAATGACATAATTTTCGTACCTGCCAATGTTCAGCATATGATATATTAATAATTATATACACTGTAGACTGTTCCGCCCTACAGTCTATACCTTGGCTCATCAGCATGCCTAGGAAACACGTTTACCAAAAGTAAGTAAACTGTGATCCAACAAGGACAGCTCCTTGAAAAAGCTGAACACAAGCACAGGTTTCTGGCTCCTTTAAACCAGATTGCTTGCCTTCACACCTTTTGCAAGAGCAAAAGGAGTTTGGCTAGAACTTAGAAATGGGTGACAATAAAATGAACAATGAACACCACCTAAAATGAGCAATCAGGTTTTAAAAATGGGTGACAATACGGGACATTTCATGGATGCGAAATTGCCTTGTTTTTCCCTTTAGCCCCTTCCCCAGTCCTCCTATTACTAACCTATGTCTAATCTAATTAAATTCATCATCTTGTTATATACTGTCCACTATGAAAATGTATAA